TCAGTCCTTATATGTGATGTGAGGTAGGGATCCAACTTCATTGTTTTGCATGTGGATATGCAAATTGTCCCAGCAATATACTGGGATGTGTTGAAAAGACTTCTTTCCCTCACTGAAAGATCTCAGCACTCTGGTTGAAAATCAGTGCATTTAGTATATAGATATATGGGTTTATTTCTAGACTCTCGACCCTTTTCTTTGGATCTATCCTATGCCAATGCTACATTGTTTTGGTTACTGTAGTTTTGTAGCAAGATTTTATGTAGGAAAGTGTAAATGCTCCAACTATGCTTTGTTTTGTTTTCAAGATTGTTTTGGCTCTTTGAGATCCTTCACTGATCCTTCCTGGTTTTAGGATCAGTTTTTCCATTTCTACCAAAAAGGCCACTGGGAATTTTGACAGGGATTGCATTGGATCTTTAGATTGCTTTGGGGAATACTGACATCTTAACAATGTTAAATCTCCCAATGCATGAACATGGCTGTCTTTCCATTTATTTAGATCTTTATTTTCTTTTGGCAGTGTTTTATAGTTTTAGCATGTAAGTGTTTCACCACCTTGTTAAATTTATCCAAGGTATTTTATTCTTTTGAGTGCTCTTGTCAATGGAAATGGTTTCTTAATTTCCTTTCTGCACTGCTTATTTTTGTGTGTGGATTTTGCATCCTGCAACTTTGCTGATTTCATTTATTATGTCTAACAGGTTTGGGGGATTCTTTAGGATTTTCTGTATTTGGGATTTTGTCATTGGCAGATTGAAATTGCTTTACTTGCTCTTTTCCAATTTGAGTGCCTCTGATCATTTCTTTTTCTTGACTAATTTCTTGGGCTAGACCCTGCAAGTACAGTGTTGAATAGAAGGAAGAGAGCGGGCATCCTCGTCTGGTTTCTGATCTTGAGAACCCTGTCAGTCCTGGGACCGATGGGGGTCAAAGGGAGGACTGTGCACTTGCAGTGCTGGAGCTCGGAGGGAAATCAACCCCTGCTCAGTCTCCTGTAGGAGTGCTGGGGGCGGGTGGAGTCTGGGTCTGGATTTGGGGGTCCAGAAGTGACACAGGAAAAGCCAGCCTGGTTGGCCAAAGCCCTTCCTCCTCTCAACGCCCCTTGGCCTGGTCTCCTCAGCCCCTTCCCTTCTGCAGAGTGCTCTGGCCCCAACCCATCACAAGCACTTTTGTCCCCGCAGAAGAAGAGCCGGAACGAGACATATGGCGAGGGCAGCGGCGTGGAGATCTTGGAGAACCGGCCATACACAGACGGCCCCGGCGGCTCTGGGCAGTACACACACAAGGTGTACCATGTGGGCATGCACATCCCCAGCTGGTTCCGCTCCATCCTGCCCAAGGCGGCCCTGAGGGTGGTTGAGGAGTCTTGGAACGCCTACCCCTACACCCGAACCAGGTGGGCCTTTCCCCACACCCCGAGCTGTTGGGCAGGGAAGGAACCCTGGGGGTGGCCCCCTAGGCAGGCTCACCCTCCACACTCCAAGGAGCCCAGGCTCCTGGGGAGCTGAGCCTTTGTTCCAGGAGCCTCTGTCCTCAGGGATCAGGCAAGAGAGGGGAGGGTCAACACCTAGATCCCTCTCCACCTGCCCCAGGAAGGCTGGGAAGGCATGAGGCAAGCGAGGGTCACCTGAGACCCCTTTGCCCTCTGGGAAGGCTCAGGGAATACAAACCCCTGTTAATAATCACCTAACAATGGGGGACCATTAACCGACCATCTGGGAAGAAACATGAACCAAGGATAGACCAGATGGCCCAGAGATTCCCTCCAACCCTGAGACCTTCAGCACCTGTGACATTGTTTTATTATATTCCACTTTGAATGGGGCTTTCTTTGGATTCCCAAAGAAAGGAGGCTCTTCACTCCATGCCCCCACCCTCACCCGTCCAGGGTAGCTGAGTAGAACAGACGGGGGCTGCTCTCAGCTGGCCACCCACAGCTGTATAGGTGGGGGTCCCCGTGAGTCACCCCCCACTGGGTGAGGACCTGGGCTTGTCAGAGGATCTACTGAGGTTATTTCTCTTCCCAGAGGCACTTTCCTCCTGTGAGCTCATCTCCAGCCAAGAGAGAGGGGCTGTTGCCTTGTTGCCAGACCTGGTGGCTCGGGGGTGGGGAGTTTGGGACGTGACATGTCACAGAGTGCTAGTCTGGATTCTTGTGGCATGTCTGTGTGTGCCTGTGTCCCTACCGTGCCTTACACATGTGGACGATGGCCACAGGGTCTCTGGCAGCTTCCTATAATGTCTCCCTCTTCCCCCTAAACACATCCCCCCCTCCCCACAGCCTGGCCTCGGCAGTTCTTGGGACAAGGGGAGGGTTCCCGAGGTGGCCAGGACAGGCGAATCTCGGCCACCACTCCAGCCCTTTCTGCCTCTCGTGCCCAGTGGGGTCCAGCAGGCCCTGACCCAGCCATCCCACAGCCAGCCCTGCAAGCCACCGGTCCTGACGTGTGCTTTCCTTCCGTACACAGGTTCACTTGCCCCTTTGTGGAGAAATTCTCCATTGACATCGAAACCTTTTATAAAACGGATGCTGGAGAAAACCCGAATGTTTTCAGCTTGTCTCCTGTGGAGAAGAACCAGCTGACAATCGGTAACCACTACCGCAGCCCTCCCACCCCGGGGAGGGCCAGAGCCCCATAGGGCCACTTCCTGGCTCTTCCTGCCTGCGTGACCTGGTCTCTGAGCCTGGCAGGCTCCAGGCTGGCTCCTGTCCTAGGCGGGGAGGTCAGAGTCCAAGCAAGCACTGGGCACTGGGGGAGGCAGGACCAGCCTCCTTGGCCCCATGTTCCTGAAGTGCACACCGACGCTGGGTGCCTTCCCCACTCAAGCCCCTTCCCTGCACCCCTTCAAGGCGTCCCCCTCCCCGGAGTGCAGATGTGTGCTCAGGGGGGTGGGGGTGGGGGGACCTCAGGCTGACTGCCGAACCTGAGTGCAGTGGGCTTGGGGGGGCTGTGTCCCCTTGATGGTAGGTGGTCTCTGCCCCGCTGCCCTCCACCTCACTCTGTCATGAGGAGACAGCCCTGTGTGTTCAATCTTTTTTAAGAGAGGCCAGAAATCAGGATTTGCATGTGAAATCTTCCAGTTCCTAAATAAACGTATGCTGGCCACACAGACCACATCTGCGGGCCCCCTGCAGCCCAGCAGCCCCTGGTCTGCAACCTATGGGTTCCAGGCCCTATAGCGCGAGCTGCCATGCGGGCGCTGCCGGCAGGTGCGCGACCCGTGTTGGACAGGTGGCTGCCAGGGCCCCGGGATCACGCTCTCAGGCAGCCTCTGAGGGGCAGGAAGGGCTTTTCCCTGGGCGCCCTCACCCGGCCCCCTCCCTCCTGCTGGAGTTTTCAGGCCCCACCAGGGTTCTAGAGCTATGTTAGTCTGCCCAGGCTGCCGCAACCAAGGACCACAGACGGGGGACTTAAACACAGATGCGCATGGTCTCACGGTCTCGAGGCCAGAAGTGGGGCTGTCTCCTGGGGTCACTGAGGGAGAATCTGTTCTGGGCCCTGCCCCTAGCTTCTGGTGGCTGCTGGTGCTCTCTGGCATTCCTTGGCTTGGAAACACATCACCCCAGTCTCTCCCTCATCTTCACGTGGCATTCTCCCTATGTGCGCTTGTCTGTGTCCGAATTTCCCCTTTTTATAAGCGCATTAGTCATCGTGGAGTAGGGCCTCCTACCCTAATGACCTCATTTTAATTTGATTACGTCTTTAAAGGCCTTATCTCCAAATAAGGTCACATTCTGAAGAACTGGGGTGTCAGGACTCCGACATATGAATGGGGGGCGGGGCAGGGGGCAGGGGGTACACATTCTACCCACAACAGGAGAGACGGACCCAGCATGATACAGGCCCTCCACCAGCTCAGGTCCAGCCAGCCTCAGACATGGCCTGAGCCCCACGGGCTCCCTCCAGAGGCCACCTGCCGTGGCTCCTAAGTCTCTGTAATAAGACTCATCCCCACCCCACCCCAGCCCGCCCCTTGCCCCTTGGCCTTTGCCTGCCCACACAGGCCGTGCATGTGGCCTGCTCCAGGAAGGATCTCTGTCCCCGCCGGAGGCCACGGCCCTTGGGCCGCTCCTGACCCCTTGCTGGTTTCAGTGGAGCCCACGTCTGTGTTTGCAAACCACGGCATGGTTCCATGCAGGCCGGCGAGCGGGGAGACGAGACAGCCGGAGCCTGGCCAGGGCCCAGCACCCCCGCCCCCCATGCCATCATCCCCATACATCCGGGAAAGGGGCTCTCTGAGCCACGAACTCTGTCCTGGGATTTATGTACCCCAGGTGTGTGCCCAGCCCTGTGTAACACCCACGTGCCTCGGGGGGGGCACAGTGGGAAGAAGCGTGTGCCAAAGAGTAGTGCGGCCCAGGTCCTTCCCAGACTTGCTGCTATTTCTCTCAGCCCCCATCCCACACCCAGCCAGGTCCCACCAGCCCCCAGCCCTATGGCCTCCACTACCCACTCTCAGGACCGGCTCAGGTCTGACACCTCCTGCCGGTCTCCTCCCCTCTGATCGAAGACGGGCTCCTAGCAGCCAGCCTGCCTTAAAGCCACTGTGTAAATATAAGTAGAATATGGGGCCACTTCCCCCGCAGCCTGGTGAGAAGAGGTTGCATCGCTGTCCCCTCCCCCATACAGACACTCTGGCGGCTCCCCAAACTCTCGCATCCCGTGCTGCGGGGCCTTCTTGGCTTCACTGCTCTGCTCCTGTAGCTGAAACGCCACTTTCTCTGGGAAGCTCTTCCTGGCCTTCTCTTCCGTTCGCCGCCGCCCGCCACCACCGCCCTCCTATCCCACATCCCCTGTGGAAATTCATCTCCCCATGCCTCCTCAGCTCTTCACCTGATTAACTGCTTAGAGTCACAGGAGGACACAGGCCCTGAGGTCGGGAGAGCTCAAGGTCAGAGTGGCCCAGAGCAGCATCCCCAGTCCCATGTTCGGCCCTACGGCATATGAGGCCCAGAGGCCTGTGAGGCTTTGCGGGTGGCGGGGACACGGGGAGGGCACTGAAAAGGGAGGGGTGGGGTGGAGGTGGGGCAGAAGTGGCCACTGGCAGGCTCTCCCCACAGACTTCATCGACATTGTCAAGGACCCCGTGCCCCCCAACGAGTATAAGACGGAAGAGGACCCCAAGCTGTTCCGCTCGATCAAGACACAGAGGGGGCCCCTGTCTGACAACTGGATCGAGGAGTACAAACAGCAGGTTTTCCCCATCATGTGTGCCTACAAGCTCTGCAAGGTGGAGTTTCGCTACTGGGGCATGCAGTCCAAGATCGAGAGGTTCATCCATGACACCGGTGAGCTCGCCCGTGCCCGCTGCCTCCCTCTTCATCCAGCTGTGATTCGACGTTTCCCTCTTATTCCTGAAAGACGACCCAAAGCCCATGTGCAGCTTCCCGCAGGGTGTATCTTGACTACTTGCCGGGCACCTAGAGGTGACAGGCAGTATATGTTGGTTGTCTGCTTAAGAAGCCCCAGAGCATGTCCCCAGACACTCTGGCTTGTGTTCATAGCTTATATATAGTGCCGACCCCCTGAGGGGCAGTAGCCCCAGGAGACAGCCTCCCTGCTGCTTACCTGCACCAGGCCCTGACTGCAGCTCCGCCTCCCCCATGGGCTGGGTGTCGTGGGGGCAGAGGGTCTTGGACACCATGGGGTCCTCACACCAATGGGACCAATGGGCCCAACCTGGGGCTCCTCTCTCCCCTAGCACCTCAGCTCCCTACTTGCCCCCCAGGTCATGGCATGAGGTCAGTGCCAAGGGCCTGACCCAGCCCCAGGCTCATGATCCGGGAGTGGCATCTGGGCAGGTATCTTTTGACTCCAAGAATCAGGGTTTGGGTTTAGCTGTGAACAGAGCCACACTCTTGATAGTGTGCGTCGCGTGTGTCCTATCAGCTCACAGTGACTGATGAGGATAGCCATGTTACCCCCGCTTGCAGAGGAGGAAGCAGAGAGCCCAGGTCTCCCATCCCAGCTGCCCGAGACCTGAGCTGACATTCTTGCAGCAACGGGCAGGGGCATCGCAGCAGACGGTCTCTTCAGTGTGGGACCCAAGGGTGCCGTGCCTGAGGCCATGGCCCAGGACTTGGGGCGCAGAGACAGTCTTGGCTGAAGGAGAGCGCAGAAGGTCAAGGGATTTAGGAAGGGTTGCAGGGGAGGCAGAGTGGCCTGAGCCAGGAGGAAGTGTCACCGGAGACCAGCCCGAGGACATGACATGGCCTGACCACTTGGAAAGCCACTCCACTTTCTCTAGGAAAGTGGAAGATGCATGCCCCGAGATCCAGTGACATCCCTCCCGGGTTTGCCCCCCAGAGAAACTCTTGTACACATTCCAGAATGTTCAGAGCAGCAGATTTGTAAAAGCTAAGTGGACAGACAATGAAAGTGAGCCAAAGTCCCAATAGCAAAAGAAGGAATAAACAAAATGGCATTGCAAACAAATAAATACCAGACAGCAACAAACCTGAAACTCACCCAAAAAAAAACCCACAAATGGCAGGAAAAGACATGCAGCGTGACGCAGACATGTAAATGTCAGCAACATGCACACCAGCCTAACGTGTCAGGTAGGAAAACACATCTGTGGGCTGCAAAAGGAGAGGAAAGTAAATGAGCCTGGAGCGGGTGGGAGGAGAGGGTGTCCAGGACGGCCATCCCAGAGCTCCCTGCTTCTGGTCGCGTCTGCTCCCTCACTGGGTGGTGTGGATAGGGATGATGCTCTCTTTCTTCTTAATGTTTTCTTAGTGAGCTTTATCGAGGCCTAATTTTGCATACCATACACTTCCCCCCCTTGTAAGAGGACAGTTCTATAAGTGGCAGTATATTCAGAGTCGTGCACACGGTTCTAGAACATTCCATCACCCCAGTCTTTTGTTCATGTTCACAGTCACCCCCACGCCCACCCCCAGCCCAAGGCAACCCCCTCTGCCTTCTGTCTCTAAAGTTCTTTTATTATCCTTTATACCTTGAAAGCGATCTCATTTTCATCATTTGACTTGCATGATATATTCTTCTACGTCTTACTTTGTCTTATTTTGCATCTTATTTTATATGTATATATGTTCTATTTGTGAAAAAGGACCAACCCACTTTGAACGGGAACTTGATTTCCATGTGGAAATTCGACAGCAAAAGTGTACTAGACACTGAGGCAGGAGACGGTGGGGGAGTCCTCCTCTAGCTCCCCCTGGGGCAGGAATCCCCCCAAAATTCAGCGTGGGCTTCTGAGCCGCCACGATCCCTCAGGAGACCACTCTGCTCCAATTATAGAACCTCGTGAGGCCATCTGTGAGCCAGACCCCTCATTTACAGATGGGGAAACTGAGGCACGGGGAGGCAGTGATTTGCCCACAACCACACAATGGGTATAACCTCGGGGTGCCTCCTAGCCCCACGCCCAGCCCTGGGGGCTAACGTCTCTCCTGTCTCCCCCTCCTGCCCCCGCCATCGCCTGGGGGCAGGCCTGCGGAAGGTGATGGTGAGGGCCCACCGGCAGGCCTGGTGCTGGCAGGATGAGTGGTATGGGCTGAACATGGAGAACATCCGGGAGCTGGAGAAGGAGGCGCAGCTCATGCTGTCCCGCAAGATGGCCCAGTTCAACGAAGATGACGAGGAGGCTGCAGAGCTGGCCAAGGACGAAGCCAGCCAGGCCCAGGTCCCTGGGGAGACCCCCCAGCCCAGCAGCAGCAGCGGGGAACCCTTGGCAGGCCGGGGACTCAAGAAACAGTGGTCCACGTCCTCCAAGTCCTCACGGTCCTCCAAGCGGGGAGGTGAGCCCCGGGGCGCATAGCACCCCCTTTCTCCAGGTGGAGGGGGCCTCTACCTTCCACGAGTCTACCCCAGGACAGCCCTCACCCCCATCCACAGCAGCCAGCCCCCTGCCACGGCCAGATAATTCTGACTCTAGACATGGACTCTTGCTTCCCAACCTTGTGGGCCACACCTGTGGGGAGTCAGAACCATTCTGCTGGTAGCCCCCCAGCTCAGAGCGAGCCCACAGTGCCTCCCCCCGTAGCAGGTGACCCTGGACTCACCTACAAGGGCCAGGTAAGACAGGCCGGCCATGGGGGAACCCAGCTCCCAGCCTCTCCTGGGGCCCCGAAGCTACAGCTCTGAGGAACCAGGGTTCCCAGGATGGGAGGGAGTCTGGGTGGGTACCCCCAGCACGCCCAGGAGGGGTCTCTGCTCCTGTGGCAGGAGCCAGGCTGAAGGAGCCTGAAAAACCTTTAGATCCTGAGAAAGGCCTTTTTTGGGAGAACTTTGGCAAAAGTGCTGTGGCTGGTTGGAAAAACCAGGGTATCCCGTGTATGGCCAGGAGTCTCCTCTGCAAATCCAGCTTCCCCATGCCAGGCTGGCCTGTCTCTGTGCTGAAGGGCTCTGTGGATGTATATATGTCGATAACCTTTTATGTCACTCACCTCCTGAGAGTACCGTACAGTCCTATCTGCTCTGCTGCAGGAGAATTTCTGGGGCTCCCCCCCGCCGGGCAGACCCCAGGCAAGAGCACAGGAGTGGACCCTGGCCTGCGTGACTGCACGTCCTGGCCTGATACCCAATACCCTCCCAGTCCCTTGTCCTCCCTGGGACACATGCATGTGGGACCTTCTTGAAAGTTCCAGGAGCTTCCACCCCTCCCTTCTCCCTTCTCCCCCGAGCCCTCCTGGCCCTGCTCTGGCCTAGCCCAGCTGGCTGGTCAGTCAGCCTGAGGTTTTGCCTTCCAGCCAGCCCTTCCCGCCACAGCATCTCCGAGTGGAGGATGCAGAGTATCGCCCGGGACTCAGACGAGAGCTCAGACGACGAGTATTTCGACGCTCATGGTAAGTGGCTCTTCCCGGGGGCGGGAGGGAGGATCTGAGAGGGTCAGGGCAGAGGATGAGATGAAATCCCCAGGAGTCGGGGGCCTCAGGCTCACCCCGGCCATGGATGTAGGATGGATTCATACTCAGACGGGGCCTTTGTGCCACATTGGGTTTATTTCCATAAGAAGCTTGACATAAGCATGGCATCTTACAATTTTCTAAATCTTTGTAATGACCTTGTTTTGTTCTTGGTTCAATGGTTGTCCATCTCACGTAGGAACCTTAGCAAATGCAAACAAGCAGGAAATATGGGAAATGCCCATTTTCCCACCAATCCCAAAATAAGCACAGTGAACATACAGCCTCCTGAATCACCCGCCTTTGCTGGGAAGATGCGGGAACAGTTGACCCTCGAGCAACACGGTTGGAACGGCACAGATCCACGTACATGTGGATTTTTTCTGATAAGTACCGTACCATCAGTGTGTTTTCTCTTCTTTATGATTTTCTTTTCTCTCTTTTTAAGATTTTATTAATTTATTTGACAGAGAGAGACACAGCGAGAGCAGGAACACAAGCAGGGGGAGCGGGAGAGGGAGAAGCAGGCTTCCCGCCGAGCAGGGAGCCCGATGCGGGGCTCGATCCCAGAACCCCGGGATCATGACCTGAGCTGAAGGCAGACGCTTAACGACTGAGCCACCCAGGCGCCCCAACTGAATTTAAATTTTAAAAAAACTTCAAAAAAAAAAATCTCAAAGCAGTGTTTTTCAAATTGCCTGAGGCATTAATGGGTCGCAAAATCTATTTTTTTCTTAAATGACATAGGTCAGAATAGTTTGTAGTAAGTACTTTTTTTTTTTTAAAGATTTATTTATTTATTTGACAGAGAGAAAGAACACATTACAAGCAGGGGGAGCGGCAGGCAGAGGGAGAGGGAGCAGGGAGCCCGGCGCGGGGCTCCATCCCAGGACCCCGAGATCATGACCCGAGCCGAAGGCAGACGCTTAACGACTGAGCCACCCAGGCGCCCCTCTTTATGATTTTCTTAATGACGTGTTTTCTCTAGCTTATTTTATTGTAAGACTATGGAATGTCATACATATGACATACAAAATCCGTGTTAATTGACTCTGTTACCCGTAAGGCTTCTGGTCAACAGAGGCTATTAGTAGTTAAGTTTCTGGGGAATCAAAAGTTTGAAGTGGATTTTCGACTGTGTTGGGGGGTCGGCGCCCCAGCTCCTGTGTTGTTCAAGGGTCAACTTCACTAAAACACTCACGTGCTTCCTACCTTGGCTCTTCCTCTCCACCGGCAGACAGGTCTGTGGAGACTGGTTTCCAGCTTGTGGTTGACGAGGCAGGACACAGGCTCGGAGGGGGACAGGGGCTTGCCCATAGACACTGAGCAGGGCCAGGGCAGGCCAGAGCCCCTCACGGGGCAGCCGTGGCCTGGAGCAGGCAGAGGGGCCACCTGATTATGGTATTTTCATTAACTGGCCGGTCCTTGAGGGAGAACTTGGGGAATCAGTGTCCAGGCAAAAGGGATCTGAGCTGGAATGGTGGTAGGTGGTTCCTGAGCTTCCTTCTGCACCCGGGCCCTCCCCAGGGGGGGAGGAAAGGTATTTTGGGCCTCCCACCCATGCCCACCTCTTTGGGCAAGAGGTGCACCCTCTCCTGGCTGTGAGTCCCTGACAGGGGGGAAATGCACATCTAACAGAGAAACTTTAGAAAAAGCTGGAAGAGAGAAGAGTTAGCAAAGCAGGAGAGGCCAGCGTGAAAGTGGCCGGGGAAGTGCCCTTCAGTGGGATGCGGGGCTGGAGGAGGGACCCGTGCCCGCCAGCGCCCAGACAGCCGCCTCCCAACCCAGCAGTACCCCAGGCTGCTGTTCTCAGCAAAGCAGAAACAAGAGTAATGGATGGAAGCGCCCACAGCGAGGCTGTCCATTTGTGGACGTTGAGAATGGTCAGGGACATTAGCTGAAGGGTGGAGAGACAAAACGTGGTCCATCCATACAGTGAAATAGGATTCAGCCGTAGAAAGGAGGGAACCATGGACACCTGCCATACCGTGCATGGAGCTTGGCGATATGGTGCTCGGTGAAAGAAGCCAGACACAAAAGACCACACGTTGTAGGATTCCATTCAGTGAAATGTCCAGAACAGGCAAATCCATAGAGACAGGAAGTGGATCGGTGGCCTCCAGCGGCTGGGGGAGGGGACGGGGATCAACTGCTTAAGGGGTACAAGGTGTCCATTCGGGGAGATGGAAATGCTCTGGAACCAGACAGAGGTGGTGGTTGTACAGCGTCGGGAACGTACGAAAGGTCACCTTAAAGGGGTTTAAATGGTGAATTTTATGTTACGTGAAAATTATCACAGTTTTTAGAAAAGGTCAAGCAGAAGCCCCCTGGATGTCGGTCATGGGTTCATCCTGCTCAGGAAGGGAGGGGCGGAAGCAAGCACGGAGGTGGACACAGGCCAGAGAGGGGCGGGGAGCCCCCAGAGTGGCCACAGCGAGGCCCTGCACCTCCCAGCCGGGCCTCCCCGCACTCCTCGGTCCCTGCCCTCCAAGGGTTGCTGAAGCCCTGCTGTCTCCCCGCAGAGGACCTGTCCGACTCAGAGGAAATATTCCCCAAGGACATCACCAAGTGGAACTCCAATGACCTCATGGACAAAATTGAAAGCCCTGAGCCGGAGGATACACAGGGTACCTGAGTTTGGCGGGGGGCTGCTGCAGGGCCTGGGGAGGGGGGCTGCAGGGGCCAGGCCCCTCCTCTCTGACCCAGCTTCTGTGCAGCGCTGGGCATCGGGGAGGAGGGGTGGGAGTACCCACGGCCCCACTAGTCACGGTCACTGCCTCTGTCCTGTGGGCCTGGGGCTGCCCGGCTGCCCCTCTGCTCACAGCACCCCCTGCTTATGTGTTGCAGACGGTCTCTATCGCCAGAGCGCCCCTGAATTCAGAGTGGCCTCCAGTGTGGAGCAGCTGAACATCATCGAGGTGGGTGCCCAGGGGGGCAGAGGGCCAGGGGCTGGGCTGCCGGGGGCCCTCCGGGGCTGCAGGGGGAGGCGGCTGAGCTCAAAGGACGGGTCCCATGGGGCTGCAGAGGCAGAACTCGGCCACCCACCACCTCACGTCCCCACTGGCCTAGGCGCCATCAGAGAGAGGCCTGGGGGCTCCTTTACTCCCTGCCCCGACGTCCCTGAGAACCAAGAAGGACTGCAGGCGGCCCCCAAAGAAGGCCTTGACCCAGCTCCGCCAGTGGAAAGTGAAAGGAGAAACTTGTAAATTCCAGACCAAAAAACAGATGTTCACCTTGTACCCAGCCTTTCCGCATTTGATGAAGAAAATAAGATGGGAGGGGAGGAAGCGAAAGTCGTCTAGGCAGAAGTGAGCGGCCGCCACCCCGCTGGGGCCCCACAGGGCTCCCGGTGTCCAATAAAGCTGTCTTGGTAGAGCGCCTATGTCCGCTTCGGGGGTTCTTTGCACGGGGCTCACGCGCCTTCTCCTCCTCCAGCTGTGGGCGGTCAGAGCTGTTTGCACTGGGGGTGGGAGTCAGGGCCGAGCAGGGCTGTCACACGCTGCGGTCACCGCACTGCTCACGGTCACCACGCCGCTCTCACCTCAAGCTGCCCAAGGTGGGAACAGCACCTCTGGGAACTCGGGACCCCTGGGGAGCTTGGGCCAGGTGCCACGGAGGAGGAGCAGCATCCACACCACCCTCCCCGACTTGGGGTTTTCTACTCTGCGGTCCGGGGTCAACGTGGGCTTTTCTAGAAGGCAAACCGGGACAAGGGGAGTTGATTTCCAATTGCCAGTTAATGGCAAGATAAAGCACATGGAGCCCCCTCCCCACCTAGGGCGCACACAGCTCTGACGGCCCCCTCGGGAGGCGCAGAAGGGGCCTCGGGCTCTAGATCTGCCTCAGGATGTGCGTTGGAACCAAGCACCAGTTCTGGGCACGGCCATCCAGAGTCAGATCCCTTGGGTTGCAATAGCCCCCAAACCGGAGCCTCCTCTCCCTGCCTTGTGGAGGGGGTACGGCTTCACGGAGACACTGACGGGGACGCCCGGCTCTCCAGAGCTGGCCTCACGGCTCCCAGGCCCACTGCCACATTGCACCTCCCTCGGGGTCTGTTCCTACAGGGTTTGAGTCTCGGGTGGGTGTGCCCCAGTATTAGGCACCAATGGGAGGAGAGCCATGTCTCCAGTTGGCCTCTGGGAGTCCCTGAATAGTCCCAGCCTGCAGTGCTGGGTCCCAGGAGATAGGCTCAGGCCTCTCGCTGCCCACCCTTGCCCGTCCTGGGTTTCTGAGGACCGCTGGACTCCACCTCCCTAACTGGGTGATGGTGAGGCGGCCCTGAGACAGGCCTTCCTTGAGCGCCTGGCCTGGCTGTGTTGATAAGCCCTTGGGGCAGTGTGGTAGCTCCTTCTGGCGGCTGGGCTGGGCGGCTGGTGGCCCTGCCCTGCGCTGCCCAGGCCGTGAATTCATTCCTGCCCAGGCCGGCCAGTGGCGGGCAATCTCATGTGGGGGCAGGAATCATTCCCACGCTCTGTCGGGCATGTGTTCCTGCCCAGGCCCCGTGGCCCACACCTGGCCAATGACCGGTCTCCTCTTGGGGATGAGGCAGCCCAGTCTTGCCTCGGCTCCAGACCCCGTACCGCCCACCAGCCTGCCTTCCTCGTTCACTGCTCGGTGGCTCCTGGGCCGGCCCAGTCCCTGTGTTTCCTGGCAGCCTCACCAGCCCCTGGGTCCAGGGCCTGTCCTGCCCACTCCCCGCCTGGGCTCTTTGTTGATACTTGGGTCCACTGCTGCCCCCCACCCCCGACACCCTCCAGTGGCCCAGTTCAGGGCCGGTTGTCCCCCACACGCCTGGACATAATATAGGCAAGGCGAGTACTCACCAGTGGCCTCTCTTGGGCCCTGGTTCTAGCTCCCACAGTCACACACCAGACGTTAAGGTGGAGAAAGGCCCCTGAGGATGCGGCCACAGCCAGGGTTGGCAGGAGAACACTGAACCGGTGGCAGCAGCTCTGGGTTCCGGGCCAGCTTGGCACCGATGTGCTGTGTGACATTAGATAAGTCTCTCGGCCTCTCTGGGCCACTACCACCTCGGCTGTAAATAGAATAGTCCCATACCCCGTGCAAATGTGTACAAGTCTCAGGTCTCACTTTGACCTCACACGCAGGCCTGACCAGCAGGAGGGGATCCTTAGCCCCTCCCAAATTAGGGGGCTTCGGACAGGCACACCTGCATTCCCTCTCTGCTCTAAGATGCTTGGAGACCTTGGTCTTTGAGACAGTCTGGGAATGGCAGCACAGGGGACAGAAGGGAAGCCCCGTGTAGATGGGGGAGAGCTCAGAGCTGCAGGCCCAGTGCCCAGGGTCACCGCCCGCCCAGGCTGAGGCTGCCCTGGGTGCAGACGCATGGAGGGCAGGCAGGCTCCAGAGGCCCACAGGGGAGGGGCCAGTGCCTCCTCGCCAAGGCTGGAAGCTGCTGCCTGGGCCCCCTGATGGAAAGTGGAATCTGTGTTTCGGAGGCTCATCCTCAGCCCCTGGTCAGGCTGGCTGATGGGAGGGAGTCAGGGCTGCTCGTGGGGAGGAGCAGAGGGACCATCTCAGCCTCCCCAGGCGAAGGGGCTGGGGTGGCCAACACCAGGCCCTGTAGCTGAGGAACTGAAATGGGGCTTCGGAGAGGGAGCAATGGGCCAGACGGGCCTCCCCTGGGGTGACAGGGGCCCAGCAAGGAGCTGAGTCCCCGGGGAGCTGACACCCCGCCAACCCATGCAGGACGAGGTCAGCCCACCCCTGGCCGCGCCGGCCTCCAAGATCCACGTGCTGCTGCTGGTGCTGCACGGAGGCACCATCCTGGACACGGGCGCTGGGGACCCCAGCTCCAAGCAGGGTGACACCAACACCATCGCCACCGTGTTCGACACCGTCATGCGCGTGCACTACCCCAGCGCCCTGGGCCGCCTTGCCATCCGCCTGGTGCCCTGCCCGCCCATCTGCTCTGATGCCTTTGCCCTAGTCTCCAAGTGAGTGCATAGGACCCAGACCACCTGCCCCAAAGCACCTGGCCCCAGGGGTCAGGCTGCTCCCCTAGAGTCAGGAACCCCGTCTCGATGTCCAGACTTATCATCCAGCCCCTTCTGTCTGGAGGTGACCAAAACTTATGCAGATGGCTGGGCTTACAGAGGAGGGGCCCCGGGCCTAAGGCTGAGCCTCAGTTGCCCTATCTGCGATATGGGCATGTAGACCTGCCCCTGAGACACAAGGCCTTACCCGCCCCCCCACCCCCGCCTTGTTACCCAGCCTTCCAGGGCCGGGCCCAGAAGCGACCCCGTGAGGTTGGCCAAGTCACAGCTGAGGCTCTCGGGTGGCAGGCCTGCTGCTGTGGTCGGTGGCGGGGGGGGCCCTGCCTGCTCTCTCCTGATCGGGCCCCCTCCCCCAGCCTTAGCCCCTACAGCCACGATGAAGGCTGTCTGTCCAGCAGCCAGGACCACATCCCCCTGGCTGCCCTGCCCCTGCTGGCCACGTCCTCACCCCAGTACCAGGAGGCGATCGCCACGGTGATTCAGCGGACCAACCTTGCCTATGGGGACTTCATCAAGTCCCAGGAGGGCATGACCTTCAACGGGCAGGTGAGTCGTGGGGCGGGAGAAGGGCAGACAAGCCCCGCAGGGCAGGGTGGCAACGGCCCTCCCCGGCTGCCGCCCCAGCAAGCAGGAAGGGCACCCGGGCCTCTGGCGCCTCTCCGTCTCTAGGTCTGCCTGATCGGGGACTGCGTCGGGGGCATCCTGGCGTTCGATGCCTTATGCCAGAGCAACCAGCCAGTGTCTGAGAGCCAAAGCAGCAGCCGCCGGGGCAGCGTGGCCAGCGTGCAGGTACCGGCTTCCCGCGGCCCCCAGAGCAGGGGACCTCGGGGGGCCCAGGTTGCAGCACAGGGGCCCAGAGCCGCCGGGGTGGGCGCACAGGGCGGGTGAGCAGCTGCAGCGGGACGGAGCCTGGAGCACATGAGGCTTTGGCGGGCGGTGGAGCAGGGTCTGCACCGTAGGGAGCTGGGCTCTGGTCCCAGGAGGTGGAGCGGGCAGCCCCGCTGAGCTTCCCGGCAGGAGGGGGTCCGGGGTCCCTCCGCTGCAGGGGGTGGGGGGGCAAGGCCGGGCAAGGCAGCGAGGCCAGCGGGAGGTCCCAAACACCCGGGTGGCCAGGTCAGGCAGGAACAGAAGCTGTTGGGACTCGGCCAGCAGGCGGGGGGTGGGGGGGACAGTGGTCCATGGATCCCCTTCCCACCCCTGATCTTGGGTTATGGGGGAGACACGGGTTGTAGCAGAAGGCAGGAGTGAGG